GCCAGGGTCTGGTGCTGCAGCTGTCGTGGGAACAGGCCAAAAATAGCCTGTTCCTAAAACCCTGGTTTGGTGCCTGAGTTTCAGGGCAGGTCGGTTTCATGAAAGACCGAAAATGGCCCTTCGTTTCAGGCTAAAAAGGCTACTGCCATTTTTAGTCTGAAACGACACAGGGTCTTTAGCCCCCTGTTTTTCACGCTTTCGAGCTGAACAGACACGGGGCCTGTAGACCCTGGTTTTCAGGCTTTCAGCCTGAGGGACGCAGGGCCTGGAAAATGGCCCTCGTGTGCAGGCGCAGCATGTAACAGCCGACCACCAGCATACACCAGGTATGTTCTCTCCAGCAGTAGCCATGCGAACACTTCCGCAGCAACGAAGCAGCGTGTCTGCATTGCCTGCCTAGGCCAGAATGCCTTCTACAGACCAGGGCACTTTCCTTTATGGAAAGTGCGGCCCCCTTCCGGCTGCGTGGGCCTGGCTGAGGAAGTTTCCAGTAGCTTCCGGTCGGGCCCCAGTGTCTGCGCCCACGCCCACTTCTACAGTTACGGGCCTAAGCCCTTTTCAGTTGGGTGCGTCCAGGTAGCCTTCCAGGGTTTAAGTGTTGGCCACATTCTCATTGGCTCGCGGAGGTTGTGTGACGACAATGCTGCTTTCACATTCGTCCGCGGCCACTGCGTGGATGTGCCGGCCTCCCGCTGTGTGTGTGCCCAGGGCACAACCAACCAGGCCCTGGGCTTAACTGTGCAGCGCAGCTGTTGCTTCTGAGTAGAGCCAGAAATGGCTCACGTTGCTTTGTAACCAACTGGCGTGCTGCAACTGTCTGATACCCACATACAAAGAATTGGCGAAAATAGGCCTCTTGTGGATATTCAGGCCCACCTTCACTTAGGACGGGCACAATGCTTGCTGGGGGCCCACAGCCTAGAACACTCGCATGTCTATTAGGGGCCCGTGAGGGCTCAGTCCCCGCACCGTCCGCCTTCTCTTTTATGTTGAAGATCATGCCTCTGGCCCGGTGCTGCAGCTGGACAACGTACCAACACTCTGCGACCTTCTCCTTTGCAGAACCACAAACACTGTTATACTTGGCTGTAGCCGTGATCTTCTCTGTCACGATCAGTACAATGACATAGGTGCTGCATCCATGTGTGTGGTGGACTGTCCATCCCTTCCTCTCTGCAGGCACACCCCTCATCAGCGCACTATATGTCCTTTTTGCGGCCATGGGGTTTACTGAATGCATGGCCTTTTGTGGTGCCCGTTCTTCCTTCATATTGGCCTGCAAGTAACGTGCCAGTTGTCCGGAGTGTATGGTGGGCATGCTCAGCCATCGTGGCAATTGTTATACTGAGAATGCTCAGCTAGGTCTTACATGTGTTCATCCACATCATCCTTACAATGTATGTCCTCTCTGTCGTCAAGGACATAATAATTCTTGAGCCGTTCTTATTCTTTCCTTTGCTTTTATCAACACAATTCTCCATAGGTCATGGGCCGTGGGGGTACGCTCCGCGCCGAGTTCTTGCTTTTTCTTTGTGTCTCAGCTTGGATTTTGTAGTGGGCGGCTGTGATCATCCTAGAGCTCAGTTTCTAATGGAATGTGGCCTGCTTAGAATGTCAACACGTAATTGTGTTTGCCTCTCCTTGCTTCACGGCGATCTGGACGACTCGTCCATCTGTCCGTCAATCGGTTAGTCGATGGGTCAGTCCATCGGGCAGTGCATCGGTCACTCCATGGGTCGGTCCATCGGTCAGCCCATCTGTCTCTCCATTGCTGACATCATCACTTTGTCAATCGGGCACTTCATCGTTCAGTCAATCGGTTAGCCAATCGGTCAGTCTATCGGTTAGTTCATCATTGAGTGCATCGGTTTGTCGATCAGTCATTGTATCGGTCAG